CCACAGGATTTCTGTGCATATGCCCAAAGGTATTTAAAGAGTCCCCACTCTTCCCCTTGGCTCCCTGCTGAACAGAAGGCGCCTGGGCCCCTGTACAGGAGGGCTGGTTCTACTCCCTTATCATTGGTATTGGTGGTTCCATTCCCAAGCCTCAGTTCCACCTGAACTCCTACTGTAGAACAATGTCTAGCCATTTTGAATTTTATAAATCTCAAATTTAAGTTACATAGTTGGTAAGGTTGAATAAAGACACCAGTCCATCCAGTTCAACCTGCTTGTGTCTACTGTTCTTCATGTCCCTGTAGATTGTGTATGCTAAGAAGCTTAAACGTTTTTGAATTTCATCTACACTTCCTACCAGGGGCGGACTGACAACTCATGGGGCCCCCGGGCAATAGGGGATCATGGGGCCCCTGTGTCCTTGCCCAAACTCAAAAAAGCCTATGAAAAAGGTACCATCGGCATCTCATGGGGCCCCCTACTTACCCCGGGCCCTCAGGCTGTGCCTGAGTTTACAAATGGTCAGTCCGCCCCTGCCCCATCCTTAACCAAAGTAACCACACTGACAACAAAATGGAGTTAATGGCCCAAAAACAGCCTTTTATTACAACCATCAATAAATACCATTTTTAAATAACAGATTTTCCTAGTAGTTTATTTTCTCTGTTTTATGCAGGGGCGGACTGACAACTCATGGGGCCCCCGGGCAATCGGGGATCATGGGGCCCCTGTATCCTTGCCCAAACTCAAAAAAGCCTATGAAAAAGGTACCAGGGGCATCTCATGAGTCCCCTACTGATCCCGGGCCCTCGGGCAGTGCCCGAGTCTCCAAATGGTCAGTCCGCCCCTGCTTCCTACTGACACCACCAACTGTGGAAGAGAGTTCCACATCCTTACCACTCTGACAGTAAAGAACCCCTTACACAGTTTAAGATTGAACTGCTTCTTGTCCAACTTTATTGTGTGACTACATATCTTCTTTAGAGTCCTTAGATTAAATAGAGTCACCAAATAATGTATATCTCTATTACATCCTCTTTCACGCATCTCTATTCCAGGGAGAATAAGTTTAATGTTTGTAGTCATTCCTCATAACTGAGGTCCTCCAGCCCCCTTATTAGTTTTGTTGGCCTTCTCTGAGCTGTCTCCAGTTCCAGCACGTCCTTCCTGAGGACTGGTGACCAGAACAGGAGGGCATACTCCAGAGGTGGCCAGACCAGAGTTTTGTAAAGTGATAGAATTATAGCTCTTGAATAAATTATAACTCTTGAATAAATCCCCTTTTCAATGCGTGCTAGAAGTCTGCTGGCCTTGCTTGGCATTGCATGCTATCGCGAAGTCTATCATCTACTAGGACCTCCAGATCCTTTTCCATCCTCAATTCCCCAAAGGTTCTTCTCCTAGCTTGTAACTTGCATTCATACTTTTTACTCCCAAGTTCATTATGGTACATTTTTCTTCATTGAACCTCATCTGCCAAATAGCTCCCCACCCCTCTATTTTAACCCCCCTGGCGATATTCCCGAGTGTAGCTCGGGGTAAAGTTTCAGCACCAAAGCGGTAACCCCCCCCCCCGAGCTACACTCGGGAATACACTTCAGCATTGCTCTGGGATCTCTTCTTCACTTACCTTGTCCTTTGCTCCCGCAATGTCCCTCCTGCAGTGTCCCCGGCAGGGGCGGACTGACCATTTGGAAACTCAGGCACTGCCCGAGGGCCCGGGGTCAGTAGGGGGCCCCATGAGGTGCCCCTGGTACCTTTTTCATAGGCTTTTTTGAGTGTGGGCAAAGACACAGGGGCCCCATGATCCCCTATTGCCCGGGGGCCCCATGAGTTGTCAGTCCACCCCTGCTTGGTGGTGGTTGTGCCATAATGGTGCTGGGGGACCTCCGACGGGGTGCAAGGTCCTCGTTGGTTAATGTGGGCACAAGAAAAGGCATTTTGTGGGAACCTGTCTGAGGTACAGCTTCCAGTTGTTCTGGTGGGGGTATCTGCGGTGGTGTCTCTGAGTCGGCGGTGTTGCGGCTGGAGGGCTAGTTAAGCAGGACGCAGGTATTTGTTTTCTTGATGCCTATTGGGACCTTGAAAAAATGTATGTTTATACATATGCCCCCTACTGACCCCGGGCCCTCGGGCAGTGCCCAAGTTTCCAAATGGTCAGTCCACCCCTGCCACCAAGACAAACCATAAAACAACGGATGGGCGGGCAGGCAAGAGGGAAGTTTGCCTTGTGAAAACTCTCTTCAGACTGAACACCCCCTTCCATACCCTGTCAGACCACCCCTCGTAGCTCCCCCCCACTCCTTCCTTAAAACTATTTAGACTCCCCCTTATGCTAATGGGACTCTGCCTCTCCCAACCCCCTTTAACCCCTGTCAAGCCGGCCCTTCATTCAGGTCTTCTTTCTTCTTACTCCGGGCCTTCCTAATCCGCTGTACCTGCTTACCTGTGTATGACCCGCCTTGCCCTTGGACTTCTCTTCTGCTCCTGCCTAAACTCTGTTCACCTGATTACTGTGAGCTCTGCCTGTTTACTGGACTTGCCTTTGCCTGCTGTTTCTATATTGCTTTGCCCTGCTTTTACCAACCTTGGCCTGCCTTCTGGACTGCGGATTCGATCCCTCGCTGCCTGGTCATTGCTGACTGTTGCCTATCTCCTGGTCCTGCTTCTGTCTTCCTGTTATGAGGATTGAGACTACCAGCTCTACTCACCTACAGAGTGGATATCACCAGCCAGCTACCCCGACACTCGGTCCACTATTTGCCCTCATACTCTCTGTCTCCACCTCTGTTGGGTACGATGTGTAAGAGATGCCTCCATAACATTCCAGTCTTCACCAGGTACGTGATAGGCTTGTTCTGTTTGTATCCACCATCTACAGTCACCGGGCACTTTATGAGGTCCACCTGTTCAATTGCTTGGTACAACAAATTGCTAATCAGCCAATCACATGACAGTAACTCAATGCTTTTAGGCATCTAGACGTGGTGAAGATGAGCATCAGAATGAGGAAAAAAGGGGATTTAACCTCCCTAGAAGTCTGATTATGTCAGTATGTCTATTCTCAAAGCGGTACATTTTTTTGCATGCAAATATGTATTTTTTTTATTGTAGGCCTGTAAATTTTAGGAATAACTCACTGAAATCTGTCCGAACAAGAGTCTAGTAAACATCCCGGGGATGATAAAACTTGAAACGCGAAACTATAAATTATAATTTAATAAATAATCCTAAAAAATAATAATATAATAATAAAAAATGTAATTCAATAATATAATCAAACTAAAAACACTGAAATTTGAAACAGAGCTCCAAGTTCGCACATCGCTGAGCTCAGTCGCAGAATCGTTTTCGGTGTCTGATGAGGAATTTCCCCCACCAATCATTATCACTCAATTCTGCAAGTGGTTCTGATTTACTATCGCTGTTCTCTAGCCGGTCTAAAACCGCTTTTGACCCAAAGGGACGCTTTTTGGACGCCATGGACGTTTCTCAGTTTCCAGGCAGAAAGAACAGTAAAAATGCAGGCGGGGCGCCGGACAAAGCACTCGGGACAAAATGTATGTGAAATGGTTTGATACAGGAATGTTATACTCTGTGATTTTAGTGTATTTAGTGAATGTCGCTTTTAAAATTTTTAAATTTCCCGCCGTTCCATCCCCCGTACGTCCTGACGTCGCAGGGAACGGAACCCAGAAGACAGATGCCGACATCGGCCGGAGGAGATGGTCGGGGACACTGCAGGGGGGACATCGCGGGAGCGCAGGACAAGGTAAGTGCTGGAAATATTTTATTGAAATAAAATCTTGCAACCAGCTTTCATTTTATACAAAAATACAAAAAATAAATAAATACATACAGTATTCAATAAACTGGAAACATAAACAAAAACAAGAACAGGACACATCTCCCTAAATCAGATATATGCTTTCTACTGAATAATAACAGCCTGTATGGCTTTACTAACTGGGCAGGTAAGAAGCAGAAAAAAAAAAGTAAAAAAACATCACCAAGACCTTTATGGCCCACTTATCAAGCATTAAATTCCAAGGTAAGTGCTGGAGGGATCCCGGAGCAACGCTGCAGTGTATTCCCGAGTGTAGCTCGGGGGGGTTACCGCTTGTGGTGCTGAAATTTTACCCCGAGCTACACTCGGGAATACCGCCAGGGGGGTTAAGTGACTTTGAATGTGTCGTGGTTGTTGGTGCCAGATGGGCTGATCTGAGTATTTCAAAAACTGCTGATCTACTGGGATTTTAATGCACGACCATTGACACTTATCAGACCAGGCAATGTTTTTCCAATCTTCTATCGTCCAATTTTGGTAATCCTGTGTGAATTGTAGCCTCCATTTCCTGTTCTTAGCTGACAGGAGTGGCACCCAATGTGGTCTTCTGCTGCTGTAGACCATCTGCTTTAAGCTTCGATGTGTTGTGCATTCAGAGAAGATATTCTGCATACCTTAGTTGTACGGAGTGGTTATTTGAGTTACTGTTGCCTTTCTATCATCTGGAACCAGTCTGCACATTCTCCTCTGACCTCTGACATCAACAAGGCATTTTCCTCCACACAACTGCCGCTCGCTGGATATTTTCTCTTTTTTGGTTCATTCTCTGTAAACCCCAGAGATGGTTGTGCGTGAAGATCCCAGTAGATCAGCAGTTTTTGAAATTTTCAGACCAGCCCGTCTGGCACCAACAACCATGCCACTCTCAAAGTCACTTAAATCCCCTTTCTTCCCCATAATGATGCTCGATTTGAACTTCAGCAAGTCATCTTCTCTGTTTACATGTCTAAATGCATTGATTTGCTGCCATGTGATTGGCTAATTAGGAATTTGTGTTAGCAAGCAATTGAACAGGTGGACCTAATAAAGTGGCCGGTGAGTGTATAGTGTTGCACAAAATTATATATGAGGTTTTCATTAAAATTTTATTATTAACCACCTCCCGCCCACCATATATAGTAATATGACATCCTCCCATTCTCACCACGCACGCACGCTCAGGGAGCGCGCAGCGCGGCGATCGGATGTGCACTGTGTCCCTCGGACACAGCAGATCACTGATCAACGGAAAGAGCCAAAGATGTCAGCTCGGTCATGTGATCAGCTGTGTCCAATCACAGCTGATCACATGTAAAAAGTGAAATGCCGATTATCGGCATTTCTCTCCTCTCGAGCTGTCACGCTGACAGAGGAGAGGAGAGCCGGTAATCGGCTTTCCGCGGAGGGGACATCTACACTGATCATCAGGGCATTGATGATCAGTGTGCCCTGATGATCAGTGTAGCCCCAGCAGTGCCACCTGTCAGGGTCCATCAGTGCCTTGTGTCAGTGCTCATCAGTGCCTCGTGCCAGTGCCCATCAGTGCCACATATCAGTGCCCATCTGAGCTGCCTTTCAGTGTCACCCATCAGTCCCAGTCAGTGCCACCTATCAATGACAATCAGTGACACCTATCAGTGCTGCCAATCAGTGCCACCTATCAGTACTTGTCAGTGCTGCCTAACAGTGCCAGTCAGTGCCGCCTATCAGTACTTATCAGTGCCATCTTTCAGTGCCCATCATTGATGCCAGTCAATGCCCATCAGTGCCACCTACCAGTGCCTCCTCATCAGTGCCACCTATCAGTGCCCATCAGTGCAGCCTCATTAGCGCACATCAGTGAAGGAGAAAAATCACTTATTTACAAAATTATATAACAAAAACTAAGAAAAAACTTTTTTTTTTCAACATTTTCAGTGGTTTTTGGCTTGTTTAAGAAAAAATAAAAAACCCAGAGGTGAATAAATACCACCAAATAAAGCTCCATCTGTCACAAAAAAATGATAAAAATTTCATATGGGTACAGTGTTGCATGACCGTGCAATTGTCATTCAAAGTGTGATAGCGCTGAAAGCTGAAAATTGGCCTGGGCAGGAAGGGGGTAGAAGTGCCCTGTAGGCAGGAAGGGGGTAGAAGTGCCCTGTAGGCAGGAAGGGGGTAGAAGTGCCCGGTAGGCAGGAAGGGGGTAGAAGTACCCGGTAGGCAGGAAGGGGGTAGAAGTGCCCGGTAGGCAGGAAGGGGGTAGAAGTGCCCTGTAGGCAGGAAGGGGGTAGAAGTGCCCGGTAGACAGGAAGGGGGTAGAAGTGCCCGGTAGACAGGAAGGGGGTAGAAGTGCCCTGTAGGCAGGAAGGGGGTATAAGTGTCCTGTAGGCAGGAAGGGGGTAGAAGTGCCCGGTAGGCAGGAAGGGGGTAGAAGTGCCCTGTAGGCAGGAAGGGGGATAGAAGTGTCCGGTAGGCAGGAAGGGGGTAGAAGTGCCCTGTAGGCAGGAAGGGGGTAGAAGTGCCCGGTAGGCAGGAAGGGGGTAGAAGTGTCCAGTAGGCACGAAGGGGGTAGAAGTGCCCGGTAGGCAGGAAGGGGGTAGAAGTGCCCGGTAGGCAGGAAGGGGGTAGAAGTGTCCTGTAGGCAGGAAGGGGGTAGAAGTGCCCGGTAGGCAGGAAGGGGGTAGAAGTGCCCGGTAGGCAGGAAGGGGGTAGAAGTGTCCTGTAGACAGGAAGGGGGTAGAAGTGCCCTGTAGGCAGGAAGGGGGTAGAAGTGCCCTGTAGGCAGAAAGGGGGTAGAAGTGCCCGGTAGGCAGGGAGGGGGTAGAAGTACCCGGAAGGCAGGAAGGGGGTATAAGTGCCCTGTAGGCGAGGGGTTAAATTTGTACTTTTATTTTGTGTGTAAGTGCCTATAAAGTTCCCTTTTCTAGCCATTTGTATACTAAATTTCTTACTATTATCTTCTTTATAACAGAGCCCCAGCGCCAGTCCAACCTTTTCTCGCCTAGATTGTAGGCTATAGAGAAGAACCATTGCTATCTGTGTGTGAAGAGTGATCTCTCTGCAGAGGTCCACCATGGTCAGAGCCCATTCACTTAGAGCTAGAGTTCTCCAGTTAGCAGGGAGTTTTAACTGTGCTGATTGGAGAACTTTAGTTCTAGCTCAACAGGGGGGTCGGAGGTTGCTGCTCTTACACAGAGTGTAGTAGTGGTCAGGGGCTGACTGACCATTTGGAAACTCGGGCACTGCCCGAGGGCCTGGGGTCAGTAGGGGGCCCCATGAGATGCCCCTGGTACCTTTTTCATATGCTTTTTTGAGTTTGGGCAAGGACACAGGGGCCCCATGATCCCCTATTGCCCGGGGGCTACATGAGTTGTTAGTCTAGTAGTGGTCCTCCTCTGCGGCCTGCAGGGGTAGAGAAGTTTGCACTGACTCTTGGACTCTGTTATAAAGAAGATAACAGAGAGCCATTTAAATTCATAGGTTTTTTTTTGCAGCTTCAGTAAAAAAATTCCTGAAACTTCCGTTGGGTATTGAACAACTCTTACACATTTAATGATGGTTTGAATATAACAATGAACCTAAGGTGATGATGAGAAGTAGGATAAGTGTGAACAGAACATGGGGTGGTGAGGCCTGGGGCACCTGCAATGCATATCAACAAAGATAATTACAAAGTAATGTGAAAATTAAAGAGAAAATTAGCAAATATTAAGGAGGTGCATTATACTGTATATTGCAGAAACGAGAAATCTCTTTTTTGGTGTGTTTTTGAGTAAGTGGAACTGATATGTTTCTAAAGCTGCATCTCATAGAATTGATCCTGAAACCTGAATTAAGTTAGATTTGTACTGAATTGCATACAAACATGCGTTGTACGGTTTGATAATATATGACAATGAGACTTGTAAACACAGATATGAATACAATACAAAACAAACGCAAAAGGTGTCCGTCCTTGAAGGCCCTAATTAGGTAAAGCCAGCTCCAGGGGCGGACTGACAACTCATGGGGCCCCCGGGCAATAGGGGATCATGGGGCCCCTGTGTCCTCGCCCACGCTCAAACCACACCCAAAAAAGCCTATGAAAGGTACCAGGGGCATCTCATGGGGCCCCTTACTGACCCCGGGCCCTCTGGAGGTGCCCGAGTTTCCGAATGATCAGTCCGCCCCTGGCCAGCTCATTCAAGGGGGATTCACAGGTTCCTCTTCATTAAAGCTTGATAAATGCTAAGGGCAGGGGTGTATTTACCACAAGGCAAACAAGGCATTTGCCTAGGGTGGCATTTTTCAGGGGGGCAGCACTGCCCCTTGGAAGAAGGGATGGAAGAAGGGACACACGCAGCATGGGGACTGGTGGGTTCCCAGAGATGCTGTGGATTTCATGACGGTGTATGCACAGCCCGACTCGCATTCCTGGGGATGTCTGGAGCTGTGAAGGTGAGTGTCTCTCTCTCTCTTGCCATGGGGGATGGTGGCTGGTGTATGGGGGGCAGTGGTAGTGGAAGGCTCGGGTGGAGGGCAGGGGTGCTCTTAGTCAATGTCAGGCTCTTGCTGTGGGGGGGGGGGGCACCAATTTTTGTGTTGCCTAGGGCAGCAGAAAACCTAACTACACCACTGGTTAAGGGAAGAGAACACAGGGTGATCCTGAAAGTAATACCCAGGGGCAGACTGACCATTTGGAAACTCGGGCACTGCCCAAGGGCCCGGGGTCAGTAGGGGGCCCCATGAGATGCACCTGGTACCTTTTTCATAGGCTTTTTTGAGTTTGGGCAAGGACACAGGGGCCCCATGATCCCCTATTGCCCGGGGGCCCCATGAGTTGTCAGTCCGCCCCTGGTAATACCTAATGGAAAGGTAAAAGGATTTGCGCCAGAAGCCAGTTAGGCAACCTACCTGGAACACATGCTGATCCACAGATGCTGAAGTGCTTGTTGGGTGGGTGCAACGTGGTGCGGGGGCAGTACACACACAGAGGCCCAGAATGCAGCAACTGATGTATTGAATAACTTGCAAATAGTACAACAGCCGAGTGGGGGAGCTCACCCAACCGGGAACTTACAGCCGTAGCAGGCCTGAGCTGTAGACAGAGCCTGCCAAGGAGGTCCAACCCAAAAGAGATCTTGCTGATTTTGTAGACATACTGTAGGCCCTGGGCTTTCCCTACTTCTTCGGAACCTCTTCCTGCCGCTGGTGTTGTCCCTGACAGACAAGAGATGCTCTTCCTACACTAGCCCCTTTACCAAAACCTGGGGGCAGGGACTTAAAAAGACTCTGTGTGACCTAAGATTGCCTTCAGGGTCACCTTCATACAGCATAGCCAGACAGAATGATGCTCCAGAGAACTTCCCTTCCAGCTGCATTGCTGCTCCGGATGAGCATCAACTACAGTAGAGAAAATAGATAGCACCTGCCTACATTCTGCCTAAACTTCTTCTCATAGCAGACCTGATATCAAATTGGAATAGTAGTTTGAAACAATTATCCAAAGGCCCTTCATTTCCTTTGGTACCTTAAAGACAAAGGTGGCCAAGCTGGATGCCATATGAAATACACAGGTCAACTCAGGATCCTGATATGTAGTTTTAATGTAGGCCCAATGGGTTGAAAACCTTGCCACCACCGTAGACATACCAAGTACTTCCCACCCACAGACCATATTGTAGTCCTGTATCCATCAATTATTTGAAGATTTCACATGATCTAAAATCCACTGGATTTACTGTTTTTAACACCACCATTTGACTCTAACATCTATACAAGCTGTGAATTCTACTGGTGAAATCTCACCATGAAAAATCCTTGAGAGCCATAGGACGCCTGTATGTCATCTTGCCAAGCAATCATGCATAAGTGAAATTTCAGGTGATGTTGGACTTCTATAAATAATCCAGGGTAGTGAGATCTTGTGTGAGTAGATGATGTGGGATTCCCTGAGATACAAAATCTAAGCACCAGCTGGTTTTCACCAGAGCTCAAGATGATGGATACAGATTCTGGTGCCAGGTTGTGACCCCAAGGCTCACCCTGCTGGAGGTACAGAGACAAGCCTTGCAAAAGGACATGAGAGCAAGCAGGAGTACAGGTGAACAGAGATAATGAGAAGCTCCCAAAAACAGACCACGGGGGAAGGTGGCAGTTGATTGAACCTAAGAGACAAAGCCAGGGTCGGTACACAGAGGATCAATCCAAGGAAACAATGGGCAGGACAAGGAGTAGCAACATGGTGGTCAGAGAGCAATGAGAATATTGCTCAGGCAACGGGAACTGATCTGAGCACAAAAAAATGAAGAGGGAGATTGGGAAGCTGGGCTGTTTGTGTTAAAGCAAAAATGTGTACCTTTATTCTAGCAATCTTCAGTCCGGTTATGTGATGTCACAGGTCCTCTTCTTCCTCTGCTGGTGGGTGGGTTGAGAAAGCTACACTATGGGCACAATTAGGTAAGTTGTATTTTTGAGGATTCATTTCATTATTGAACAACTACAGTGCTCTCAGTAAATCCAAAATGTTAATAAACCTCAAACCTGAATATTTAAGGAAGTAAAAGTGAGGTTTTGGCTTTCTTAGGAGAATATCTACAGTATGTGTGCAGAATATTGGCCAACTATTAGTGTGCAGAATTAATATGTAACTAAATGAAAAACAAAACATTTCCCATCTCACTTGTATATTTTCACCTGTTAAAGTGAGAATAATAAACAAACAACTCAAAATTTAAAAAATAAACATTTTTGACATTTAAGAAAAAAAATCAGTGACCGATATAGCCACTCTTCTTTTCAATAACAGTCATAAGCCTTCCATTCATGGAGT